AATCCCGGGCGCGCGTTCCCCCACTTCCGACGCGCCCCTACCAGCAGCTGGCCCACGTGGGCGGCTGCCTCTCTCTCCCCTACCCGAGGCGCGCACGTGGCCTCCTCCCGTTGGACCACGTGCCCCAATTCTTCTCTCCTCGGTCGCCGACCCGGCTTCCAAATCCACGGCTCGGCTCGGCTTCTCTCTAACATCGAAGCGCGCGCCCTCACACGTTTTTGATCGGCTAGAAGCGCTGCTCGAGCCGGCACACCCATCCGAGCCACCTACCCCACCCACCTGCACCGAATTTCGAGATCCACCTACCGCAGATCCGATTTCTACACCCGATACTACTACCTTCTCGCGTTCTATACCCACTGTACCAAAAGTTTTCTTTCCCCCTTCAACCGGATCTCGAAGTTTAATTCGAAGCGATTTCGACTTATCCAGATTCGACATGATAAATAATTTTCACCGACGAAACAATCAAGCAACAAAAAATTTCTACTCTACCACAAAAAAAAATTCAAGAGAAAATTAGCACAGAAGACCTAGAGTTCAAAAAAGATACCCATATTTATTGCTAGAGTTGAAGTTTAATACTCTCCACCGCAAAAGGAGTCTATTTATCTGGCCTTGCTATGATATTTAAAACCCTTAAATATATACCTCGCTGCCAAATAAATACAAATATTCCTTATTTAAATTAAGGAATTATTTCACCGCCAAAGGAAACTATTCAATCCACGACGCAATTAACTCTCGACACGACCCGGACCCCTCTACACAAGTCTCCGTCTCGAATCGAGAGTTGGGGGGCTTAATGATATACCTAAATGGGTCGGCCCAATGGGCCCTCAAATTTATCTACTAATTAGGCCCACTACACGAAAGCCCAAATACCTTCAAAGTAAGGCTTGGGCCCAACAAAGTAAGCTCAACCCAATCACCGATATATAAATAGGTGTTTTACTCATTTGAAAAGGTACGTTCTAATTATTGAACCCCCGGCTTAGTTCACGTGTAGTCCGTCGGATCAACCCCCGGCTTAGTTCACGTATGCTCATTTCGCAGGGACCTCAGGATCATCGAGTTGAATAGCTATTGATCAGCTTTGCTCTCCCAGCTCGTTTTCTATACTACTACGGTGAGCTATATTTTAGCATCATCAAAGAGAATGAAATAACTAATAATATATATATATATATATATATATATATATATATATATATATATATATATATATATATATATATATATATATATATATATGGGGTAAATTACACCCACACCTCTGAGGTATGCTTAAATAATTTTAAGGTCCCTGTGGTATCGATAAGGGAATGATCCCCATATATATATATATATATATATATATATATATATATATATATACTTAATATATATATATATATAAGCTATGATGTTTGAAAAACTTCTTCATATATACTTGGATATTTAGATGGGGTGGCTAGAACTAATACCAAAATTTTATCACTTCAACACCCCCAAGTTTAATATCATATTTTAACGAATTTTTAAATTTTTTTTTCGATTAATACCACATATATTTTTTTTAATAGCAAAGTACTAAAATATCCCTCGTCAAACAAAATACAATTATACAAAAAAGTATTTATTTTCCTCATTTCAATACCAAATATTAAAAAACTCTCTTCTTCTCCCCCTACCGAAACCCAAACCCAACCTTCTCTTCTTCTTCATCTTCTTACAAACCCTCCAAACAATCTCAAAAAATTCAAAACCTTACAAAACTTATATAATGCAGTCACAAGACAATAAAATTGTAGTTTACATGGAAGGGAAACTCATTAAAGTATGCATTCATGTCTTTTTTGAGATTCAAAGTCGATTTTTTAGGTTTTGTTTTTTTTGAAATTCGCCTACAGTTTTCGACATATACAGTTCGAATTTTTGGTCAATTTTCGACACCAACTTGTTGAAAATTGTATTTTTTTTAAATAATAATAAAAAATTCGACACATACATGTCGAAAAAAATTAAATACACTTTTCGACAAGTTAGTGTCGAAAATTAACCAAAAATTCGACATGTATGTGTCAAAAATTTGTGGCGGGTTCTTAAAAAAAATCTTCAAAATCGACTTTTAAGCTCAAAAAATATATGGATACATACCTTAATGGGTTCTCCTTGCTCGTAAACTATCATTTTATTGTCATTTGACTATATTTTGCAAAGTTGTGTAAGGTTTTGATTTCTTTAGTTTTGAGATTTTTTTTAGGAGGGTTTGTTGGTAGGAAGAAGAAGAATGAGGAGGTGAGGGGTTTGTGAAGAGGGATATGTGTTTGAGGGGGATTTGTGTATTTGGTATTGAAGAAAGAAAAATGAGATTGGTAATATATATTTGGTTTTGATTTTCATTAAGGGTATTTATGTATTAACTATTTATTATCTATTTATTTTTTTTGTGGTATTAAAGTAAAAAAAAAAAAAGTTATTAAATCTAGACACCCCTATTTAGATACAATACAATATGTGATGTTCGAGCTATGTTGATAAACTAATGAATTTTTCAACAAATTGGTTGAACATGCAATGTGCTGGCTGTCATAATTCGCCGGTTATGTTTGAAAATTAACACACAAGTTGCTAAGACATATTTCGGTCAAATGAAATAAAAACTAAAACATTATATTTGACTTTTAAGATCTCTTTTTTTTTTTTAGTCAAAGATTCGACCTTAATTGTCTGATTCCATGAAAACCACTTGGTATTATTCATTCATAATTTTTCAATCAAAGTTTACCACATACGGTCTGGTTCCATGAAAACCACTTGGTATTATTCATTCATAATCTTTATCTCACTTTCCCCCACATACGAGTCACTAGACAGCTTTCTTAGGCAAGATCTCCGGGTAGCGGCCCCGAAATATTTTTAGATTTATTCATAAAAATTTGCTAAAATCAGTATATATTTAGAATTTTTTAATTAAAAAGTATAAATTTTAGCAATATTATTTTATATTGTAATAACAAATAGAGAAACAATCATTTTTTTTATAGACACTCCTAATATGTGTTATGCTATAAACTAATAACATTCATAACGTTGAACATTCGATACATGTTCTCACATTATGCAATCCGAACCCGCCCTGTTTTTTAAAAGCACAACCCAAGGCACCTTTCAACAACCCTTAAAATTACATCACGAAATACAACAGTACAACGAGTATAAGAACCTAATTCAAACATGATAATTCTTTTCCTACAACCAGTTGATAATAACTACTAGATACAATCAAACTACAAGCGTGGGAGCTAACAAGAATCGTAATAACGACAAAGTAACAAAAAACGAGTGGAAAAATAATCACCAGAACCAGCAAAAACGGCTATCTACGGCCTTGACAGAAGTGGATACCAAAGGCATACGTCCATACTCACCTGCAAACCAATTAACACAATGTGTTCTCCTTTCGTTGTGACCTCCCAAGCTACTTATTCCAGTTGAACCAATCTCAAAAATATTACCTACATCACCACACAATATGTGTATAACATGCAAAAATTGTACATATATCTGCAATTGCAATGTTTGTTAACAATAATATATTCTATTCGATTCATGAAATCTCGTTAGCCTACGGCTGAAGTTTAACTTGAGAGGTACATTTACACTAACATAAGTTTTTTTCTGGAAATTGAACCAGAATTTTTCAAGTGCTCTTTAGGTTTTTTATTTGGTTAATGAATAATGTACTCTGTGTACGAGTAAAATCACGGAATCACCATCCTGGTTTACTCTGTCCCAAATAGCTATGTGTAGTTTACCAGAAACTGTACATTAGTTAAAACTTGTGAAAACTCTATCTTCAACTGAAGTACTGAATAAAAAAAAAAAAAAAAAAAAAGGAAATCGAAAGAAACCCGATAAACCGAAGAAAAAAAAAAGAATTATAGAGATACTCCGCTTTCACAAGAAGAGGAGAAAGAGGGCGACTGAACAAAAATTACCTTTCACCCAAATAGGAGGAGCACCGGTTGCATTTGCTACAAGGAAAGACATTGCAATATCTTCGCAATTCCTGGTAGATTTAGAGCAATTACGAAAAATAAATTGATGGTTCGCAAATCGAAATAGCGATTGGGAAAATGAATGTAGAACGAAGAGTAAGTAAATATGAAGCATCATTTCAGAAGAACCTGTTGTTGGTCACATATTCTCGAATGGATGATGGCATCTCGTAAGTGTACATACTCAGATATTTCTTATGAAAGAAGGAAGCTTTCGAGAGAATCATACTATATGTTCCTGTCCACCATACAGACCACCATCCACTATAAACATACGTGTCCTGATTGCCTGTCTGAAACGATTAGAAAAAAACGACCCAAGCCAAAATATTATTAATTGAAATATTCCAAGAGAATGTCATCAAAAGGATCACTATAACGACCTACAAACAGCATCATAACAAAACCATAAACTATTAAAAAATGCAACGGCAGTACATACCGATTTGTCCAACCAGTGAACACGAGGCACAAATCCCACCATTGTATCTGGTGCACTTTGCCAGACGCTGAAAGCAAGCTCAACCGTTGTGCAGGGGAATATAATGTCGTCGTCAATTGAGAAGACGACATCCGATTTCAAGTCCTTGATTTCTTTAAACCTGTTATTCAAGCTGTCTTCCTTATTAATATCAAATTTCAACTCGATTTCACGAGCATCTTTCGAATTCAATCTTATAGCATGGTTAAGAAATTTGATCAGAGATTCTGAAGGGGGGTCGGGTTCGCTCCACACAATATGCACAGAATCAAGGCCGGGACACGATGCGTAATGTGATATAGACTGCTTTAGAAGATCGTTTCGTTTCCAAGTGTTAATCAATAACGAGTATCCTCTCCTGCGTGATCGATAAATATTTAGCATGAGTATATCAGAATAGATACATCTTAGGAACAATCGAATTAGAACCGAAAACAGAAAGAAAAACATAGGCCTCAAATAAGTATGAATCTCAATCTTCAGATTCCTAATTTTAACTCTATTCTTTTTTGGATAGCAAAACCTCTATGTACGCAAATACAATAAATAGGGTAATTACCACAGAGATTACTGAAATTAGTAAGAAAGTAAAATTAAACAACATCAAGAGCATTTAATACACCAAATTTAAACAATTAAGTACAAATTAGTGCAATAATTAATGAATTTAAGCTAAAAACAGAAGGCAGCAAATCGTACCAAAAAAAATAAAAAAAAATAAAAAAAAAGGGAGACGAATTGATAGAACCCTACCGGGGGAGAGAAGATCGGGGGAGAGGAGCGGCGTACTGGTTCCACCCAATAAACGACGGCGTACGGCCCGAGAACGCAATTAACGTTAACAGGAGACAACAGGCCAGCATTAGCTTTATCTTCGCCGATCCGGCGGCGAAAACCGCTCCCTGCCTTATCGTCCGACGGCTGAAGAGGCTCGTCCTCATTATTTATTTACCCCTCTCAACTACGGAACAATATCAGTGTCTTCTGACGGAGCTACTGAGTAACTTACCCTGCGATCCTGGTCGACTCAGTGGGCAAAACGGTGGTCTCGGGCGGTGACGATTCCATAAAACGACGGCTCAGTGGATGTACGGACGGCGGAGATGATTAATTAGTTCGGGCGGTGGTGATGGCATGTTTCCCCTTCAATTTCAACACTCTCATACTCCACGGTAAAGATATATATATATAATATAATATAATATGGACAGCGGAAAATTTATTTTGACAGCAAGTTAGTTATTTTACCTATTGATCAAAAAAAGAAAAAACGAAAAAGTTAGTTATTTACTTATTTCTATTATTATTATTATTATTATTATTATTAATTCATTTGCTTAAATTGCTTACCAAAATTTCCGGCACGTGTCAGAAATTTAATTTGGTTGAACTCAAACTAATTATGAAGTTGGCGAATAAAATATTATGTGGCGGTGATTGTCTGCAATTTAAGAGAAAAAATAAAAGTGTGATGTGATCAGCTTAATTTGAATTTGAATTGAAAAATGATTTTTTTAATATACAGCATATATAAGTATGTATGTTTTTTTTAATTACTTGTATAATAATAATAACTATGAGTTTAATTTAATTTACTATTGATTACTAGTACAGAAGTAGACGACATGCTCGCATATCCGATGAGATGCAGTCGGTTTATTATATTCTGAGGGCATATATACTGTATATGTTTTACACGTGTACTCAAAGGGTAGATATGTATTTACATGAGTTCATGTGACTTTATTAGGGCTGGGATGGTTGGGTCAATCCATTACCGGCCTGAAAACCGACTCATTCGACAAACTAATTTTGCTTAAATTTGAAAATGTTTGTCGACACGATCTTTATGGGTCGGTTGATTGTTGTCAACCGAATATTTAGTTACGAAATGGGTCGATTGATAGGTATATCCGCCACCTAATTTACTTAAGAAAAAAATAAATTATTGAGTAAAAGTAAGCAAATTTTGCCTAGTGTCCCTTGCATGATATCAATTCAAAATACTTAATAGTAATTTCACAAAAAATATAATTCTGAAATTTCAAACAGATTCCAATCATACACATTCCCAATTTATGCAGTAGGAGTTATGTCTAATTTTTTTTCTTGTTAATTTTTTGGTTTGATTTTAAATCAAAAACTATTTTGATAATCTCATACCCACTTAAAAAGATCACACCCTTTATTTTCTATTTTTTCAGTAAAATTTTATTAATATAGATGGTTGGCCGATAATTATTGATCAACCGAATTTTAATAATATTAGAAATCATAAACTGACCCATTATTGATGGATTGGTCAAAAAAATTTAACCCGATCCAATGAGTTAGTTAAAAATTTATTATCTATATAAAAACATGATCGGTAATAGCTAAGTTGTTGGGTAAAACCAATCTCATTCTCAGCCTTAGAATCTATGATTAAATATATGCACTTGGTATAATATTAGTAAATTAATGAAACTATAAGATCTTTAAAATTTCAGTTGAATTGTTATTCAATGAATCAAATGGTATTTTCTTTTTGTTGATTGTTCAGTTAATAATGATTACTTTTTGACTCCCATTTCTTAATGGCGAGGGTCATAGTTGCTTGCACCTTTCTAATTAGGTACTAATCTCATAACTTAATATATATTTATCAAGTGGAAATACTCTATTTTTAGCTAATTCATTTTTCAATTGCTAATAGAAAATCAATGGTTGGTATATATATCTATGTTTATATTGTAGCTTAATATATATTTATCAAGTGGAACTAGTTTAATTTTGTTTTAGCTAATTCATTTTTTAATTACTAATTCATTCTTCTAAATTAGACTCGTGGCCCATTACGTAAAGACGTAGTAGGCTAATTGGGCTGACCCAATTAGGCATATCAATTATCTTGTACTGTTGGATACATATTTAATAAATAATATCTAATTGTTATTTGACCAATTAATTGAATATATTCGTATCGATAAATTTTAAGAAATCAATACATCAATAATAGTAATCTTACGTATTTAAATATATTTTAGTTCATTAATATTTTTAAAACATAGTTACATTCATTATTATACAGTATATTACTTTTTAATTTTTTTTCTAATAATTTAATTTTAGTTAGTTTTCAATTTTTATAATCTAATAATTATTAGATTGTTATGTTTATTATGTATTAATTTTAAAATATAAAATATTGATGTTGAGGGGGTAAGTTTTACAAATGATACTTTAAGGGGTTAAGTGTTACACATGCATACTTTAGGGGTGCAAAGTGTATTTAACCCTATTTTTAATAGGGGTTTTTATATAAAAGTTCCGGACCAACCATCTTTATAATTTTCTAGGTTCAGGGGTTATATCTTTTTCGGCAATAAGTCCATCCATTTAATTTGTATTATAAATAAAGATAAAATTAATGTATACGACAAAATTACCACCAATCATTTAAACTGAATTCCTAATTGTAACCCAAATTTAACTTCAATCTCATCAATTTTGACCACAAAATCCAATTTTGACTTTTTCTTTCTTTTTTTAACTTTTTTTTTCTGTTATTCTTTTCCGTCGGTTTCCGACGTTCGTTTTTTTTTCGTCTGTCAGCGTTTTCCGCCGCCGATCTCCGGCGTCGACATTTTTTGAATTTTTCTTTTCTTTTTTTAGAAATTTTTTATCCGTTTTTTTTATGGCCGCCGTTGAACGTTGACCGTAATTGTATAGTCATTAACAATAATTATACTGTCGTTGACAATACATTTACGTAATCAACCACATCAATGTTATTTTTTTAATTTTTTATTTTATTTTGTTGTTGACAAGTCAAAGTAATAATATTATTGCCGTTGACGGTAAAACTATTGTAAACACAATAATATTACGGTCAACCACATCGATATTAATTCTTTTGATTTTTTATTATGTTTGACTTTGTTGAATGGTCAATATATTAATATTACTCGTTTATACAATAAGAGTGATTTTTGTTGTTAATTTACTGTGTTAGAGAGTAATATAGCAATATTATTGTGTTAAACTCTCGGGATAATTAGCAAGAACCCCCTCATCTAGGAAAATAAGTTAAGAAAACACCCCATTCCAAAAATAATTAGAGAAAACCCCCTTAGCTAATATCTCACCCAAATATTATTTTAGTAATTCCAAAACTACCCTTAATTGTTCAATATACCCTAATCACATTTTTCATTTCCCATTCTCCGTTCTCGTCTATATCTTCTATCTTCTCTGTTTTTTATTCTTTCTTTTTTTTTTTCTTTGTTTGTCTCCGGCAAATATTCTCCCCGCCGCCGCCGCCGGAAGATGGATAAATGCATGGAGTCTCCACCGCCACGACCGAAGACGACGATTGCAGTGGGTAAAACGACGCCGTTGACGGGGAAAACGAGATGTGGGACCGCCGTCAATCCCAGCTTCAACAGCAAAATCGGCGCTCCAATCGGTCGTCGGCCTTTACTCTAATCTCTCTGCCAATTTCTCCACCATCGTTCACCAGCGGCTCTCTGTTGGAAAATGAACCTCGAGTAATTTCCTCTCTCTACTTTGTCTTAAAAATAATTAGACTTCAGCCATGGATGTTTCTAAATAAAATTTTGAGTTTCTGGAAATTGTTGGTTGATTTGTTAGTGATTTGCTTATGCTTCGGATTTTTGTTTATCTTCGTGCTTATGGTTTTATAGAGGTCTTGTCATCAATATTAATAGATAGATGGAGATTTTCTCTGTACAAAAGCTTCAATTAAGTTGGGATTTATGATTTCTATATTTTTTTTTTGGGTGAAGTAATGGGTTCAAATCGAATACGCATACTTTCGGTTTTCGGTTCAAATTTGTGTGCATTTCGTCTTTCTTGAATTGTGTGAACAAAGAAGACATTGATGAACATATTTGTTTCTTGCTTCTTGTTAAGTTAATTTCTAGCGGTGGATCTAGGGTGGAGATCGAGGGAAAAAAATTCGACGAAGCGTGGTGATAATTTTCTGGTATGGGGCAGATTTCGAGGCTAATCGACTATGTGTTTTGGTAGTCGATTAAGTTAATCGACTATGTTGTGGTAGTCGATTAAGTTAATCGACTATGCTCTGGTAGTCGATTAAAGTGTTAATCGACTGTTTTGATAGTCGATTATGGTTACTTGATTTTATTTCTTAATTCATTTGTTGGATTTTTGTGTATTTATTCCGATTTGTATAAATCAATTACACTTTTTGTATATTATTGTTTGTAAAAAAATGTTGGTTTTCGTTTTTATGTAGTTGTGTTATTTTATTTTTGGTAATCACAGTTCCTTAATCGACTATGTTTCATCATAGTTGATTAACATACCTGATACATAAAAAAAGTTAAAAAATAAAAAAATTCCAAAATTAAAGAAATTTCCTTAGTCGACTATGCTCTATAGTCAATTAATAGCGTAGTCGATTGATCACCTGACAGTTTTTTTTTTTTAAACGATTAATTTATTTTTAAATGATTAAAAAATTAATAAAAATTAAAGAAAAAATTAAGAATAAAATAATAATAATAATAATAATAATAATAATAATAATAATAATAATAATAATAATAATAATAATAATAATAATAATAATAATAATAATAAATAATAATAAAAATTATTATAAAAAAAAAAAAAAAAAAAAAAAAAAAAAAAAAAAAAAAAAGAAGAAGAAGAAGAAGAAAGAACGGCTGATGTAGCCGCCCGCACATGTGGCATGTGATAACAGTGCTGATCAGATGGGGGCATAATTGGAAAAGTGGGTAGGTGGTATTAGGAGTGAATTTTTCTTAAATGGTGCAAACTAGTTTGAGACTCTTTCTATTAAAAAAAGTATTGATGAGGTTATGTCAAAAAACCCCTAAACTGTAATATAATTAAAATTACTGTATTAAACAGTAATATAATTTAAACAGTAATATAGTTAATATGACTGTCAATTACAACAATATTACTGTCTAAATGGGCCAAAAATTGTTGAAGATTTTTTTTTTTAATTAAATGAGGATATTATTCATGAGAAAATAAGAAAAATGGACGATGGCAAACTCTTCATTACACATATTGATGATACCCATCTATTTTGAGGGCAGGCTCGGAACATTTACTCGACGAGTATCGAACTGTTCCAACGTAAGATTTCTCCCTCTTTTTTATGCAAT